CCCCAAAACCCCAAAACCCCAAAACCCCATTGAGCTAAAATTAAAACATAATTTTGGATCAGATTTAGCAATGATAATTAACATTAAGAGAGTTATAATAGTGTTCCCATATCTGAAATCAATCACATCTTTCCCAACAGTTCCCAATATTTGGCTTTAATTGTGCTGAATGTTTCAGAGTAAATTTGCTATTCAGTTATACTAGCAGCATCATAGGTATCTTTATCAGCTAGGTATTATTTGTGAGCTTCTAGTCTCATATAACCAGCAGAAAGTGGGACCAACCAGAACAGGGAGAAGTTCCCTACTAACTTAGTGAGAGTAGAGGCACTTGGACTCTTTATCAAGTCATAAATATCAGTGAAAAACTAAGTGAAACTGTCTGCCATAACATCAGGAGGTTTCTAGAATAGCAATGGGTTTTAATCCTAGAATTCCTAAATCATAGCTAATGGGTTTTTTGTTTGAACACAGCAAATTGAAAGTGCTAGTATGAATAGAGAAAATAACTTTAGTTTCATTGAAATAATATATTATATTTATATAAAATTAAATAATGAAATAGCAAACATTTTAGAAAAAGTAAATAGCCTAGAATCATAGTTAAATTTCATAAAATAATTAGCATCTATCTGCAGGTCGTCCTTTTACTGCAAATTTAAACAATCATAATAAGTTGAACTTTCTACTTGGACTTTCAGAGTAGAATAAATAGCAGGAATCGAAAAAACAACAGCACCCGCAACTCTAAGGAAATAATGTCTTTGGAAAATCAAAAAATTAACAGCAATCAAGTCGAATCATTCCCAGTTCTAATGCTTAGAGGTAGAAGTATGTAGAGATGAACCAGGCTGATGAAGAGCTAGACTAAAGGTCTTCCCCTTCATAGAGACTTAATGCCAATTAATCTAGAGAGAGATTTTTCTCAAGGCTAAATCTTAAGCCATTCAAGATTATTATAAGTAACGATGGCAAGCAGAATTATATGCAAAAGAGGAAGTCTGCTGGAGTTGGATTCAACAATTGCGTATCGGAGGACTATTTGTTTAAGGATGATCCATTCAGACAAGGATTAAACGATATATTTATCACTAGAGTTTCAACATTGGCCGACTACTTCAATCTAAACTAGCAGTCTAATACCTAAGACGATATGAATACTTAAGAAGACACTGAGGCTCTGAACCGAGAGTCTTAGGATGCTCAAGAAGAGGACAATATTCCATTTGATGATAAAATACCTGCTGACTATTAAGATGACTTGCACAAAGCTAGGACCTTGATTTCATCTCGAATGGATGATGTATGAGCAATTAAGAAGATGATAAATGATACGAAAGAAACAATTAGCAATAACCGAAGATAGAGAATTCTTAATTCCATTAATAAATCGCATTGGTCAAAGCAGCAAAAGTGTTCATTATAAAATCCTCAGATGGCTCGAACCTAAACAGCTGGAAATCCTTTGAACATGAGAAGTGAATAGTCTTAAAAGCCAAAGTATACATATGGAGATGTAATTGCAATGAAATACATCAACTAGGAGGAAAAAGCCAAAAATAAAAAAAGAAAGAATAAACGATCCATAGTGGAGAGAAGTAACACAGCAGCTGTGGGATTTAGAGAAAGTAAATCTCTTGGAGCCAATTCTAATTTAAATAGAAGATTTTAGGATATATTTGATGATGAAATAGTCATAAAGGATGATGAATAATAGTAACTGTATGCCAAATAAGAATCGGATCCTTACAAAAATCTGAAATAAGAATAAAGTGATAGAATCAGCAATTTATCTAAAGCTAATTAGTAAGTAAAATCTAGTATTCATAAGTACTCAGAAGAGTCTAAGAAGCAATAAATAATAAACTAGAGCTCGTATAAGTAATTCTATGATTAGAATAATTCAAATGCGAATAAGAATTCTTAAGAGTACTCGAACCTCTTTATAATAGAAAACAAGAAGCATCAGAGATTTTAACGTGGCTCTGATGGCAGTGGTGCTTTTCCTTAGTCAACTAAGATATCGAGTCAGGTGTCAACTCCCCTATGTGAAATTCTTTCTTAATCATCACAAAAAAGGATACCGATGTAACCGCCATAAACTTATAATCAGTGGTAGTATAAAAGATTTGATATATAAAGTCAGTGTAACTAAAGATACCCTTCTTAATAAAAACCATTGTAGCAGCAATAACAGATATAGTAGTCATCACAATAATCCTAGCATCAATCACTTTAGAGATAAGAAAGTTCAGATATATACTCAACTGAGGTTAAAGTAATGCATAAACGGACTATCGGGACTTCTTCACTTTAAAAGAGGCAGAGCCTGTACAGTAAGACTGGCGGAGGTAGTGGCTCCTAGAATAGTCTTGTAGCGAAGTAAGGATAGTTCAGCAATGTTTCATTCGCTCGCAAAAACATGTAAAATAACTGGCTAAATTTTAGAACTAATGAAAATGAGAGCATTTAGTAACAAATTTGAAAATTCTACCTTATAAAAAACTAATTATACTTTACTTATGATTAGAATTAAGTTAATTAATAATTTTAATTAAAGGACAAAAATGATTGTAAACATTAAAGATCTGTTTCTAATCATTGTACCTAGTCTGCTTTATTCGGATTGAATGATGTAGCATGCACCATAGATATAAAAATAAACAAACCTGAAGAGAATTGAAAACTGGCTAAGCTGAAAGATAAAACTGGGCAAATTACTCGAGTTCCTATCTTTTTGGTAAATTAAAGATTAATAAAAATTCAGGATGGCGAAGATGTCAAAGGAAAAGTCATTATCAATCTAATGAAGGGTAGGCAGCTTGATCACTTAGGCATAAGAGTTGAGTTAGTAGGCATGATCTAAGGTGTCTATGATTAGAAATTGCAAAGTTAGTTCCTGAGTTTGATTAGAGATTTAGAACCCCCTGGGTCTCTAAATGATAATGTGTCCTATGATTTTCAATTTGGAAGAGTAGATAAGTAATTTCAATCATACAATGGCTCTCAAGTTAAGTTAAGGTAAGATTGTATTTGGTTACGCTTTCAGATACTATGTTTTAGTGGTTATTAACAGAAGTTATGGAAAGATAACGAAAGAAGAAGACTTCGTAGTGGAACACTTATAGTTAGAACCAGATGCAAATCCAAAGATTTAGATGGAGGTGGGAATTGAAGACTATTTACTCATTGGGTTTGAGTTTCTTAAGTCAAAATTTCATATTAAGGACTGCATCGAGGGTCGAATCACTTTTATTCAGATTAAGCTGAGGATCAAGCACATGGAGTTAAGTATAATAAAAAAAGAAACTATAAATACTAGCAACAATTAGCAGTCTGTTGAGACTGAAACTTTGTCTAAGTTTGAGATAATGGATGGAGGATCGATAAAAGGCGAAAATGTCCCTGTTAGATTTTATCTCTCATCAACTAAGCTGACTCCGACCTATAGGAATGTGAATAATAAATTCTCAGTAAAATATCAAATGATGATAAACGTAATTGATGACGAGGATAGGAGGTATTTTAGATATTAAGATATTGAATTATGGAGAAAGAAAATTTGATTTCTTAATTTCAAAACTAACTTAAATTGACCATATATATTAGGGGTTTTGGGGTTTTGGGGTTTTGGGGTTTTGGGG